TATTGCTGTGAGGGTCAAGAAGGCAATTGTGGAATGTATTCATTTGAGAATATGAATGAGCTGGTGGAAATGATCTGTTGTTTGTTGGACAACAGATCTTGTTAATTTTCATATTTCGGCTGTGAGAGATCTTGCGGAAACCATACATATTAAGTTGTCGAACAAAGCTTCGAAAATGTTTAGTTTTGAAGGAGCTTCGAGAATTCACAATGCCTCCCTGGTCATCTTTTGAAGAGGAAGGGTTGCCAAGATATTGCTTTTCAAAATCTGCCTTGTTGATACGAATAGAATGCCCTTTCTTGTGCCAGGAAATAGCACCTGTCTTACATTCATTTGTGATCCGCCACAGTTTAACTGGGAAACGACTGACCATACGTTCACTCACTGCCTGCTTAAGACTGGGGAACTTCTCTGAGGTCTCTTCTTCACTTCTGTCCGAAAACATTTTTCTTGGCTGGTATTCAAAGAAACAAATAGTTTTTTATCAAAACATCAAGAGAAATAAACAATATCAATTCACATAAATAGATTAATTTTATATCAAATACTAGTATCTCTACTTTTTGAAAGTTAACTTTAGGAGACCAGTAGTAATGGTAATTGTGAAATTAACTGTTTCCATGCAAGAAATAGTCAGCCTTCATTGACCAAACACTTAGTGTTACTGTCAGTTAAGTTTATAAAATGCTTTTGTGGCAATGAGTAGAAAATGAAGGATTGTCTCTTTAATGCTTAAAAGACTCATTGTTTGAAAGAATTTTTTTTTTTTTGTTATAGATAGATGATAGTTTAAACATTTCTGAAAGAGTTGGATGTCATCCATGACATCCATGTGAGAATCTAGATCTGCCGATGCTATGTAAGAACATGTTTAATATTTTGGTTTTGTAGTATCCAACATTGTTGGACAAAAAAAAGAATCCCTAGTGCAACCTACCTCATATTCAATTTCCTAATCTTCTATACTAAATTTTTCTAACTGGTTCATATATGAAAGTATTTGAAATGTTTGGAAAAATCAGTAATGATGAAAATGCTTCATTTATGAAATTCAAAAACTTAAGATTATTATCTGCTACTACAAAGTCACATGCAAAGGGATTATACTCAGTGGAAATAAAACAATTAAGATTAGATATATCCTTAGACATGGACAATAGTATGAGAACAATCTACCCCACTATATTGAATAAAACTAAGTGTTCTGTTACCCAAATTGACAGACACCTGAAGAAGGCCGAAGGACAAAATGGTCGAAATAACAACAAAGATGAGGGCATTTGCCCACCTATAAATAATGTAAACAAAAAAGTCATACCTTCAGCTTGTGGGCAGTGGTGTAGCTAGAGTAAACGTCACCCGGGGCGGTCCGCTCACATGTCACCCCAATGACCCCGATTCACCCTATGCTGAATGGTTAGCTGTAGCTAAATTTTCATACATGCTCTACCTTTACTTTACTCTACTGACCGGTACGTTACTGTTTACATGTATGATCCAAGACAAAATCCAATACCACAAAATAATCAGTTCAAATCAAAAGATTTTTAAAATGCAACTGTTCACTTTCAGAACAACTAAATACAAAATACAGCAATACACAAAAGAATGACATTCGATTATTGGGCTTGTCTATTAGCCCAATCTTACCTTCTTCGAGTAATGCATTATTCAAACTTCATTTGTAAATCTAGCCCTCTGATTGGTTCATTTATCAGGTCGCCCACACGTGCACTTCGAAGTTTTGGCGCAAAATCGCTCTGGATCCACCCACGCGATCATGACCTCTTAAAAAGAACCCAGAGCACGTGTGACCAGAGGGAGATGCAGACGCAGAAGCAGACCTGGGCAGATCAGCAGCAGACCATTTTTCAACCACTTACTCAAGCTTAAAAATGTGAAGACTACTAATTACCGTCTCGTGAATCGAAACAACAAATCTTTCCCGTTCAATAACTTCTACGAACTTCTTCGTCATTCGAGAATCTCATACTATACATTCTCTTTGATCATCTATGATAAGTCAGTCAGTCGAATGAGCACAGAGATATACTAATCCATGTCGTTTGCAACTGCAAACTTGCCGCACAAACTAACGCGCAAACTAAATCATACTGACTCACTCGCAAGCCCAAATTGAAGAAAACTCTGTGAACACCAAAACTTCTATCCAAACAACTTTACTTATCTAAAGTGAATTAACACTCACTACTATTAATAACATCATCGAACGAACTCAACATTTGCAGTCAAAGGTAGACTACTTCGTAATGACTCATTTCTAAAAACATAATACAGACATTCTAAATACTAATTACAATTTCCTAAAAAGACTGTAACACAGATACACAAGACTTAAAAAAAGGACATACAAAAACTACAAATATCACGAGCACACTAACACAATAACATCTTCAAAATATTCTGTACATATTATCTTATTTGTATATAAATGCATTTATCGATTTTGAATTGCATGTATTTTTTGTCTTGTTTTTACATTGAAATTGTTTAATTGTTTGTAGATGCAGAAAAGTTCACGCAACCTAACATAAAAATTCCTTCTGATAAAACTCAATGCTACAGCAAATTCCTTAGTTTATTCTGCACATCCCCAACACGATACTATGGTCTTAGAATGAATGTTTTCTTGTTTTCATTGTGGCAAACTGGTCAATGACATCGTCAAAATCTGTTTGTATTGTAAGAAGCTCGTTTTCAATGGACAGCACAGCCAGATCCGACAGTCTCGACTGGCTCATGGTTGACGTAATTTTCTGTTGCTAATTTTCCGGTGTCCAATTTTCCGTTGCATCATTTTCTGGGTACCATTTAATTATCAATGATGTTTGAAAGTATTTTTCTTAACAAAAATGTTCTATTTAATTTTTAAGCATTTTTCGGAACATTGTAAAAATCAACTGCATTAAGGTTACCTAGAGAATTTATGCAAAGTTTATTTTTTTGTTTTTCTTTATACAAGTAAAATAAATTTACATCGTATTTTGATGTTATTATGATTTTAGTTTTAGTTTTAGTGATAATTTAAAAACAATAAATATTTATTTAATAATAATGGAAAATTAAGTCAAAAATTTAAAAGAATCGTTTTTGGAATCGGAAAATAGGCACAAATTTTTCCGATTCCAATACCGTTTCCGATACCCCAAAAAGTTCCGATTTTTCCGATTCTCGAATCCGATTTCGAATAATCGTCCCAACACTAGTAGATATATTCAAAAGTATATCGCTCACTCAATGGAAAATTGTATCTCAGCGAATTGATACACAGGCAAGACTGAAATTGTTGCGCTTTTGGCTTCGTATTTCGCTTTGTTGTTATTAATGATGCAGAGTTAAAACACCATATCATCCGATAAAATGTTACAACAATGTCTCTTGTTTGTTAGTAACCAAGATTGTAGCAACTGAAACACATGAAAGCTGAAAACATTGCTATTTTTCCTACTCACAAATTTCCCGACAATTTATTAGAAAATTTCTGACGGGGGACAAAACTGGGGGGTCATAAATTATTTCTGGGGGGTCATATGCCCGCCTGCGAAACTCTGTCTCCACTGTTTTCAGACTATTTTTGGCACCTTTGACATTGTGTCACCCCTCCTGTGCTGGCACCCGGGGCGTTCCCCCCCCCCTTAGCTACGCCACTGCTGGTGGGTAAGGGAAAAAAACAAATAAAGATAAGTAATTCATTTATTTTTTATCAAATATTTTTTTAATTAATAATAATAAAATAATGAAATAATATTTTAATAAACTAAGACACAGGTACTAAGACTCAAGTCAACTGTCAGTGTCAAGAGAGTCATCATTTATTTTTAAAAATATAACTTTTAGTTTGATAAATATTTTAATTTTTAAAATATTATTTCCTCTATTATTTCTCTATTATTTTCCAAGCTACCAAGAGTAAGACAAGATGTCCGCTACTTCGCTAAACAAAACGCATACCCTGATGAAAAAAAAATCTGGCAACAACTTACGTCAGGGGAATTTATCGGACAGTAGGACAAAAGTGATATAAATCGTTCTAGCTTTAAGTGAACCGGTATACTTTTTTTAAGTGAACCGGTATACTTCCAATTTTTTCTTTTTTACCTTACATTTGACGGAGAAATAAAAATAACATTTAAATTATGAAAAAATACATAATTCAAATTTTATAAGACAAAAAATTTTTGTAACAGTGAAAACTGAAGCTATAATTTTTCTTTCATTTTTCCATAAATAAAAAGTTCGTGTTATATTCTTTATTACTTAAATAAATTAAAAACCGACATGAAACAATAAATAAATAACGACAGAAAATGAATGCCGCTAAAACTAAAAGTGCAGTTGATAGGATTCGAAACCGCAACTTACGAATCAGCGTTTCTTTCCTTTATTTTTTCTAACAAAATTTCATTTGCAATGTTGAAAAAAAAATAATCTAATTCATTAATTCTTCTTCTAAAAAAAAACAAGAAGTTAAAATAAAATGTTTTTCTTTTTTTAATTCACAGAATAAAACAAAGAATAAAATAAAATTAAAACTCGAATTTTAATTTAAAAACATGAAAGTTTTAAGGACGCCTCGATATTGAATTTGTCAAGTTCATGGAGAGAAAAAATTTTTTAATATCTGAAATATTTTCATATTTTAAGGTAAGAATTAATATTCTTACTTGATTTCAGATTATTAAAAAAATGCGTATTTAAGCTTCTTATAAAACCAAAGGCATGGATTATGAAATTAAAGTAAAAAATGTCTTCTTTTTTTTAAATTTAAATCATTAAGTCGGTAATTTATTTAACTTTATAAACATCAATTTGTTTTTTTTTTAAATATTTGGTGTTTTTTCATCTTAATAAAAATCCATTATTGTATGTGTTTGTTTAAAAGGGATTTTTTTATTCATAATCAAGTTCTGTTAAAAATTAAATTTTGTTCATAGAATTGAAAAATATATCACAACATACTGAACAGATTGTAATTAAAATTAATTGATAGATATGAAAGACTGAAATAAATAAATAGATAAAAAAGACTTAGATAGATAGATAGATAGATAGAGAGATAGAGAGATAGATAGAAATAACTAGATTGACAAAGATATGATGTGTTGTTTTCATAAAAATTGATTGATTGAATAAACAACTTTTTACAATGGATGTTTTAACTTTTAAATCACAAAACTTTTTTTTTAAACTGAGTAAAAAAAAAACTATCGAAATTAAAACAAATAACTAATTTTTTTCAGATCCAAAATATAAAAAAAAAAGTAAATACGAAGAAAGCAACAATTAATTAAATAAAAAATGATACAAAACTTTAAAACAAATCTTCATACTTATCGCTTTTTTTTCCTTGAAGATGAAAGAGAAATTCTTCAATTTCTTTCTTCTTATTTTTCTTATCGAATTTTTTGTTGCTGATGAAGTAATTCTTTTTTTTTAAGAAAAAATTTCTTCTTTAAAGAAAGATTTTCTTTTTCTTTCTTAAAGAACAAAAAATATTTATAATTAAATCCACAAGTCCAAGTTCTACAAGAAAAATTCTTCCATTTTGGCAACCAATAAAGAGAATAAAATATTGACGTATTTAAATAATAAGTAAAAATATATTAATTAAGTTTTCTGTTCTTTTAGAATGTCTGATTTTTAAGGAGCAAGTTGATTGTCACTTTCCTTATTTTCTCAAGAAGAAGCTTCTTGTTCATGTATAGCCGCTTTCTTTTCTTTCTTTAAGAATTAATGTTGGAATTTTAACTTAACAATGAATAACGTTTTATGGATTTAAATAAGTGACTAATAGATAAATTTTAAAATAACGGTTTAATATTGAATATAAATAATTTCAAAATCAAAACTAGCGCCCCAAACGCTGCGGTCTTTTTCTTTCCTTTTTCTGTTTTTTCCTTCTTTTTTTTTTCTTTTTTTTTTTTTAATTTTTTCCTTATTTTAAAATAATATCCATTAATAAATTGATTCCTTTTAGTTTTAAGTTTACAGAAGTAGTCGAATTTTGTATTGAAAATGTTTAATTTGTCTTGTAAATCTGCTCTGCCTTTTTGCCCGAATAAGACTTTATTTTCTTCTGGAAAGTTGAGTACACATTTGAAAAAGTTATGTTGTACAGACTACAGTGGAAACATAAATTGTAAAAATAAAATACATTATAAATTAATGTCGCTCTAAAGTGGGGGTTTCATTTTTCAATATATGTAGAGTACAAAACTGGACCCTTCTTAGTAAGAAGTTCTTACTCGATGTCAAAGGTTATATTCAATTTGCTATGTCCGTCTTTATGCAAAAAGTACGGAAGCTTTTTTACTTTTTAAAGAGAAGAAAAAAAGATGAAGTTGAATTTTCCTTCTCACGTCGAAAATAGTAAAAATTGTGCTAGTTTTAAAAAAGTTTTCGTAAGTCCAAGAATTGATTTCCAAATCGAAGAGAAAAGTAAAAAAATGTAACTTTATCATTTTTATTTTCTTTTATGTACTGTAGGTTTCTGTACTTTAAAATTACGGACGTAAAGCAATAAAAAAAAAGAAAAAAATCCGTTACTTAAAAAGACCAAAACATAATTACGACTGATTAGTGAGTTCAATCATCAATGTTCAATGGGTACTCCATACGTTCGACTTTGTGCCACATCCACGCTAAGCTTATCGCTATACAAAAAAAAAGTTCGGTTAGTTTCCAGACGAAGTGATGCTCATATTTAAATATTGAGAAAACATATACACAAGTTTTTCTTCTTACAAAATTGTACACTACAGGTTATGGGCATTTAAAAATGTAACTAAACTGTAGTAAAATTATATATTTTTTATTGAAATTAGTTGAAATTTCGACGCAGTTGGAAAGGGCACATTAAAAAACATTTTGCACTACACTACACACACTACTTCTTTTAAAAACTTAACCTAAACCCTACTCGACCGTGACACGAAAGTAACCTTAACGGAAGATCTAAAACAAGCATGTGACCTTTTTTTTTTTTTTGAAGATTGAAATTATTGTATTAAAACACTTCGTCGTGAATATATTGGCAATAAAGATGAGCAGTTCGAAAAAAGTGTAAACTATAGTTACAATACCTCATCTCAGAAATATAGACATGTTTTCTGTCTGAATTTTTGTGATGAGGATTTATCATTATTTACATTAAATAACTTTATCACAGTGTTTCGGCCGTTTTGTCCTGTGCGAGTCTATCACGTACGAACGTACATACATACAAATACAAATCACATACAACGCCAAGCATTCATTGGTGAATTAATCACCACTACGTTTTTATAGACAATTTACAAAAATCGCAGCAATGCGATAATTTTGTAATCGTTCTATTTTCATGTAGTCAGTTTTGTGCACTTTTGAGAGAAACGGTTCACAGAAGCTTTCTTAAGTCTCCCCAAAGCTCGCTCGCTGATTGGTCTATGCCAACCAATCAGATCGTCTGCACGTGAAGAATAATTCTTCCCGCGCAGCGATCTGGAGCCTATAGTCACTTATTTAAGCAAGAATTTTTCTTAGCTAATTAATGAGAATTCAGCTGCCAAACGAATCCACAACAGTTCAAACCATGCGCCAACCTTCTCACTCACACACACCACTCACATGCTGAACATACCTTTGTGGCACCATGCATACCTAGCGAGCTGAAAAGAAATATTCATAAATATATGATTTGTTTTTTACGGTTTGTCAACCATTTGATAATTATTTAGAGCTGAAAAATATTTCGGGTTTTAGGAATGGTTCTTTCTTTGCGTTCAAGCGATCTGGAAGAAGAAAAAGAAAAAAAAAATAATACGAAAACAGGTCATAAGCGAGCACACACACGCTCGACTGACACATAACAGGTGTCGAAAAAAATATCAGGTCAAGCACCTGACCTACTTCCGTGTCCACGAAAAATAGAAGTTATTATCAATTGGTTGAAGAAACAAAGTTTAGGAACAATGAAAAATATATTTGATAAGTAACAGGTGGGAAGTGTATCTAAGGATATGAAGACAAACCATTAATACTAAAACACAGACAATTTCCAGAATTGGAAAAAGCCACACATGATGATGTTGGCTGAAAATGTTTTGAGATAATGAAGATTTTTTTTGTTATCAAGCTTCGAGCGAAAGAAAAAAATGAAATATTTTTATTCGTTCACGAAAACGCCACCCAGTCTGAGAAATTTCTTTCTTGGATCATATCCAATTAGCGATAAACTGCTTGACAAATACCACGTGTTAAAAAAGCCGAGAGCGTCATCTCGGTCGCGTATGATAAGGGCGATTTAAATTAATATTTTGTTTTTTTCAAGCAAGGTGTTTCTTCCCCCAGAACAAAGCCACGGATTGTCCACACCCGACTAAAGACCTCATTGGCCGAAAGCGGTCACATGACGCATGAGGAGAATCGGTCGACGCCCTTGTCAGAAGTGTAAGTGTGAGGGGCCGATACGAAGAAGCGGGGAAGTTGGTATACGCCCCTCAGAGGCACAATAAGGAAGTGGGAGTGAAAGTGAGTTACCGAAAATGGAAAATCCCTAACCAGAAATAAGAAGGGTGGATACGTATTTAGAATTATCGAAGAATCCCCGACGCCAAACAGACCCACCCCAGTTTTTGACGGCGTCAATAAAAGCGAAACCCCAAACGACAGAAATCAGATCAGCCGCGGACGGCGGGCCAGTTCGTTCCCCCAGCGGGCAGGAGAGGCCAGCTCGTTTGGCCTAAGTGGAGAAGTTGGAATCAGAGCAAGCTGAAGAGAAGAAGTTAATTCGCGCACTGACGGCGGAGATGAGTGACCAATAATTCAGACTCTGAAGAGATGAAGTTGGAGTTTGAGAGCGGACGGCGAGAGAGTTGGAGTTGGAGTTTGAGCCGTGAACGACATGCAGAGATGAGCGCCCAGTGTTGAAACCGCGTCAAGATAGCTGACCAAGATTCACGCACACTTCTGGACTCTTCTTCAACCAAGAACAAGTAGTTTGAAGAGCGACTTAGAATCAGACCACAGAAATAGGTTTTTTTCGACTTTCGTCCAAGGACACGCCGAAACACAAAGTTCTTAGAGAGCAGACAACTGGAAGCCTTAAAGTTGCCTAGTAAAAGCGTTGTGCCACAATCCACAGAACGGGTCGGGAAGTAGACATAGTCCTATGTACCGAGCAATTAGACATAAAAGTTTGTTACCTTTTTCTTGATACGTTGGACCTTGTGAGTTTTTATTTTCTTTCTTTCTTTTTTTTTTTTTTTACATAATTGTGTGTTATCACCCCCGTTAGACTCAACTTGCATTACGGCCCCAAGTTTGATCTCGTCTGTCTAAGATCAAGTCACAACGTGGGTAGGCAGACCGGAGATCAGTGCAGTTACCCTGGTAACCAGGTGTTGGAAGCGGGTTGAGAACGACGAGGCTGGTATCAATCTAACCAAAGGGTTAGAACGTCACGTTTGGAGCAGCGAGGAGCGAACAGCTGACGCCGCGACAAAAGACGTCACACCTTGTATATACTCACAATCTTTTCTAACACGGCAAATCTTTTAAGAACAGTCATTATAAGAGACTCTCATGAACATTATTCCAGTGAACTTTGAAATACTAAAACAACAGTTAAAGAGAGACAACTCTGTTTTATTTCAACCTTTTCTTACTTAAATGCATGTTTTCTTTCACATCGTTGTTTGATATTGTACATCTTGTTAAATACATATTTTATGTGTACCAATGTCTTTGGCTTATCCTTTTCTGCGTCAGCCCTGTTTTCTAATCTAAAGTTAAATTAATGTGGTGAAGTCCGCCACAGTCCTCCAACCTCCATGAAGTGCTTGTCGATAAATTTAGGGAATTTCGAACTGAATATTTTGTTATAATCTACTGATAATTTGTCTGGTTTTTATTGCTCGCCACTGAATCAAAGTCGTCACTGCACGGCCCAGAGATCGAATCACCAGCTATATCACCAAATTCGCGAACTAGCGCTTTAATCTACTAGGTTATTGTCATGTGGCACAATCCTGAGTGTAGAACTTTCAACATGTGAAATATTTGACCAATCAGAGAAAACTAAAACTTTTTTTTCTACACC